GTGAGCCAACCAAAAATCGGACATGAACCGAGTGTCGCGGTCGCAGGCGATTTCCTTGGGGTAACCCTTGGTTCGAATCCAACTGGCGTAGAGAACCTCGACCAACTCCGGTGCCTTGGCATGATAGCGACAAGGCAAAAACATGGCAAACTTGGTGAGTCGGTCGACCACCGTAAGAATCCCATCCACTCCGGTCTTGTGCTTGGGGAACGGGCCGGTAATGTCCATGGCAATCGCTTCCCTTCGCCTCAACGAGATTGGCAATGGTCGTAACTCGCCGTACGGACGATGGTTGCGGGATTTGCAGCATCGGCAAACCTAGCATGACTCGCAATAGCGCGTGACGTCGCCGAGAAGGCCGGGCCACCAAAATCGCTGGCGAAGTCGGCCAATCGTGCGATTGACTCCAAAGTGTCCGGTGCCGGGAGCATCGTGGAACTCGCCAAGAAGCCGTGTACGCAAGTGAGGATCACTTAGTAAGAGAAGGTCCTTCCCCCGCGTGTGGACAAGCAAGTACCCCTCTTGGATCCGGTAGTGAGAAGGAGCCGGATTAGGAGAGGAGCAATTCGCGTACTTGTCGCGAAACTCGGGGTCGGCTTGGTAGCCGCGGATGAAACTGTTCCACAGGTCATCGTCGATCTCGAAGGTTGAGTAGACCGCGGTACAATGATCCGGAATCCGTGAAAGAGCATCCGCAAAACGGTTCGACTTCCCGAGAATGTGATCGGGAAAGAAGTCGAACTGGTCGATGAAAGCCATCCATCGAGCGATGGTGCTATAAACGGTGTCTTGGGTCTTGTAAAAGACCAACGGATTGTTGTCCGTTACCCAGCGAAATTGGCTTCGACCATGGAGGAAGTGCCGCCACCGCTTGAGCGCGTGGACGGAGGCGAGGAGCTCCTTCCGTGCATCATCAATGGAATGCACGATGGGCACTGTCTTGCTGAAGTATTCGACCAGGTGCCAGTCCACACCGTCATGTTGCTCGAGGACTGCACCAATGCCGTAGCCTGACGCATCCGTAGTGACGCGCGTAGGCAAGAGCGGGTCGTATATCCGCAAGACCTCCGCAGACAATAGCGCGGCTTTGAAAGCGAAGAATGATCCTCGCGACTCCTCTCCGAAGTCAAACGGCCGATCCTCGCATTGAAGCTTGTTCAAGTGGGCCACGATCTTCGAGTAGCCTTTGATGAAGCGCTGATAGTAGTCGGCGGGACCGAGGAACGAGCGGACATCGATGACGTTCCGAGGCTCCGGCCACTCTTGGACGGCCTGAATCTTGTCCGATAGCGGACTGATGCCCTCCGGTGTGACGAAATGGCCCAAGTATTCCAGCTCCTGCCGGACAAATTCACACTTGTCGCGGTTGGCCTTATACTTGGCGCGGCGGAGCGTCTCCAACACTCGTCGAAGATGCCCAAGATGATCCTCCAATGACCGGCTATAGACGAGCATATCGTCTAAGTAGACCAGCACGAACCGGTCCAACATTGCTTGAAATTCATTGGTCATTGCCGCCTGAAAGGTCGCCGGGGCGTTGGTGAGGCCAAAAGGCATGACCACCCACTCGAAATGCCCGTAACGCGTCTTGAACGCGGTCTTGTAGCGGTCGTTCGGCTGGATCGAGATTTGATGATATCCTGATTTCAAATCCAACTTGGAAAAATATTTTGCGCCGCCCAATCGCTCAAGAAGATCGTCGATGCGAGGAAGAGGCCCCGCATTCTTGACGGTTTGCGCGTTGAGCTTGCGGTAGTCGATACACAGTCGTAGATCCTTGTTCTTCTTCCTCACGAAGAGAACTGGTGCTCCATATGGGGAGCTGCTAGGGCAGATCCAACCCTTGGCCAACAAATCGTCGAGTTGTGCGCGGAGGACTTAAGTTCCTCCTCGCTCATCCGATAGATGCAACCTCTCGACGGCACGACACCGGCCTCAAGAATGATCTCATGAGAGATCGGCCCATCCGGCACCACACCGATAGGTGACTCGAAGATATCGGCGAACTCGTCCAGCAACCGTACCACACTGGGGTCCGAAGACAAGTCCGTGGGTGAAGAGTCGGCTACCGCGATGGTCCGTAGAAAACATAGGCCAATCTCCTCGGACTGCTCGTAAGCGCAAGTCGCCCGGAATGATTTGGCCGTCACCACTTGGCACCGGATCGAAGGGTGCGGTAGAGGAATAGTACACGCCACTTCCGCGCCGAAGGCGTCGTGAACGCTAAGAGTCCGCCAGTGGAAGTTGATCGTGTGATCCGCACTTGCAAGCCAAGGCATTCCCAGAATGATGTCGAAGTCCGTATCGAGAATA